GAGGCCTAGAACCCGAGGATGCCCCTGACCCAGAGGGGCCAGTTGGAGGTTTACAATGAATGACGGCCGTGGTGGAAACCCACTGAACACATTAAACATCGGTGTTCCGGTAAACAGCGATACTCAGGGAGAGATCAGGCCAGAAGCCAGTGAAGCCCTTGCACCGGGAGCACAGGGCCGCTCCTGATGCTGAAACAGGACGCAAGGCAAGAGCCCAGGTCAGTCCTGCTCCCAGGAGTGAACTGCCGCCCAGCAGCTCGGGGAGGATTCACTGCCCACAAGAACCACAGGAAACTCCCCTTGTCACAGCCGGCTCTTTCTCCTGCGCTCCCCGCAGCTCGGAGCCGCGCCCAGGGCCTCGGCAAGCCCATCTCCTCTCCTCCTCCAGCCTCTCCTCCTGCTGGCCCACGGGGGACTGCGCACCCCCCCCCCCCCCGCCCCGAGAAATCTCCCCTTAACCAGCAGAAACGGGGCAGCTTCGCTCACGGGTCTATCCCTCCCGCCTAGAGAAGCGCCTGGAAGTAAGCGTGCTCCACAGACGTTGAATGGATAGCATTCATTCATTCATTCATTCATTCATTCATGTGCAAAGACACGTTGCACCCACGATCCATCCTATTAGTGTGAGGGCAGCTGACTGGGACCAGAGTTAAACAGTCAGTTATGCTCTCAGACTCGGGGTACCCCTCACAGCCTGATTGTAATTCTCATCACACTTCCTCCACGTCCAGTGAGACCGCCCTCTGTCAGCTGGCCCCCCTCACCTCCCCACCCCGTCCCCAGCACCAGCCCTGCCGTGGGTCTCTGGTCCTGCCAGCATGGCCTCCCCACACACGCCCCCCGTCCGCTCCGTCCAGCTGTGGACGACTCGCAGGGAAGGACCCATCAAACCCCGGAGCCAGCGCCGCACTTTGGCGACTCCCGCTCCGGCCGTCAGGAGAGGCGCACCTGCCCCTCCACGAGCCACCTGGAGATGGACGTCTTCCCGTCGTAGCCCGGCCGGAACTGCAGGGTGGCTGAGCGCGGGCTGATGTTGGAGATGACCAGGTTGGACGGGGCGCCGGGAAGTTCTGGAGAGAAACGAGAGAGGACGGCACAGACTGAGCTTCTGCCACAGTTTAGGAAGCGGAGCAACACGCCGGGGAGTAGATACTTCCAAACCCCTTCCTACCATGGACAGGACGTGTTTTCAAACCACGAGAGGCCTGGCCGGCGTGGCTCAGTGGGTGAGCATCGACCTATGAACCAGGAGGTCACGGTTCAATTCCCGGTCAGGGTATGTGCCCAGGTTGGGGGCTCCATCCCCAGTGGGGGGCGTGCAGGAGGCAGCCGACCCATAATTCTCTCTCATCCTCTCTCTCTCCCTTCCTCTTTGAAATCAATATAAATATTTAAAAACAAACAAACAACAGGGAGGAGCACAGCTTCCCTGGGAACACGCCCAGCATGGCCCCGCTCTACGGGGCTGGGGCAGGCGCAGGAGACCTCGCGGCCACGGGGAGGCCAGGCTCAGTGGGGACCTCTGTGCAGCCGGTCTTGTTCAATGGACACCGCGGAGTGAAGAAGGAGGGAGGACGGGACCTCAGAGAACACACAGCAGCACACGTCCCCCTCCCGGATCCTGACTGTGATCATGGCCATGGAGAGCAGGCGGGGGGAGGGGGGGGGCAGAGGGTGCACGCCCGGTTCCCAGGCAGCTGACCCGGGCAGTGGGCAGGCCCTGAGCCCGGGCTTCCTGGGCCTGGTTTCTGAGACGACGGGTTCCGGGGCGAGTGCAGAGCTCTCCCCACTGCCCGCGTGCCGGTGCTCTGGCAACTAGATGAAGGGAAGGCGTGACCTGAGCGGCTCCACCACCTGAGCCCCCCCACCCCCCGGAATCTTCCCCGTGTTCCCCCTTAATTCCAAATGCAGAGAAGCAACTGCAAAACCGTGCTCCCTGGGCGCTTGCACTCTTGCTTCCTGGCAATTGGCATTCATTTGGCTCAAACTCAAATTCTTATAAAATTTTTCTACTGGCTTGGCCTTCTTCTTTGACACTATTTTTTAAAAATATGTTTTTGTTGATTTCAAAGAGAGGAAGGGAGAGGGAGAGAGAGAGATAAAAGCATCAATGATGAGAGAGAATGATAGATCAGGTGCCTCCTGCACGACCCACACTGGGGATCGAGCCTGCAACCTGGGCCTGTGGCCTGACCGGGAATCAAACCGTGACCTCCTGGTTCATAGGTCGATGCTCAACCACTGAGCCACACCGGCTGGTGACACTATTCTTTATTTTAACATCGGCACGTCCTCTCTCTCTCACAGGGCCTGCCTTTCCTTCTGTGGGGTTCCCTTTCCGGGGAGGGCGGGGCCCCAGTCCAGCTCCCTGAGGGGATTCACGTCTCCCCTCCCTGCCCACCAGCCACTCCCCCACCCCCACAGAAGAGAGGGGGGTGGTGGTCAGAAGACGCTGGGAAACAGGCTGCAGTGGGTCACCCTCCACTTACCCCACCGTCCAGCAGGACACCGGCCCTCCTCAAAGGCTGGTGCCCTCCGAGCGTCAGGACTCCAGGGGGAGGGAGGGGCCGGAGCCCTGCTCTCACTGACCTGGGGGCACGCCCGAGGAAATGGTGGACGAGGTGGCCAGGCCGGCGCCCACGGCGGGTGAGGGGCAGCCACGTCGATGGTGTAGGTGGTGAGCGAAGACAGGCCCTGGATCTTGTACTCATGCGTCGTGCTGTTGAGCGTGTCTGTGAGCCGAGAGTCGTTCCTCCCGTAAACCCTCCCCAGGAGATCCGGTAGCCTGGGGGGGGGGGGGGGGGGGGGGGAAAAACAAAATTGGGGGGGG